GATACCACTATCTATAGGAAACACCATTATTTCATGTGTCACTATAAAAGAAAGAAAAAAACTATGCCAGTTCTGCCACCATTCTTTATTATCACATCAATTATAAAATGTATCCTGATTTCAGGTGTTAAAATGTGAAGAAGAGAAAAAGTGTGTCTTAGAATCAATGAAAAACATCTTAATATATAATGAAATATTAATGGAAATTTGTTTTTACTTGTCACGTTTTCTAAATGCAGATCACTAGAGTGTGCTGGTTGCTTTTGTCCTCCTTTGCAGCCACTTTACCCTTCCAGACAGCATCTTCCTACATCTGGCTTTCAGCATCTGGCTGACCTCTTCCCATCCCACAAGACTTCTACACAGAAGAAAAGGAATTAAAGTGTTGAAATTGTTGACCATTCCTTGCTCTCCTTGTTTTCTGGGCACAGACTTGGAACAGCATTAGGAACTTCTAGAAACACTGGAGTGTGTGAGCTAAGCCCAGAAAATACATGATCCAAAAGAAGCCAAGAGTTCACAAAATAAAGCTTAATTCATACCCTTATCATCTTTTGCCTAGATCATTGCACTGCCTCCTAACTATCTTCTGTCCTCTGGCCTCACCTTTTTGTGATCCATCCCTGAGACTTTTGAGCCATAGTCTGTCTGTTCATGTCACTTTCCTGCAATAAAAGTCCTATAGCATAAAAAGGCCAATTGTAATCCCCACCTCATCTATTGTCTCTCTTCTCCAGTAACTCCCCCTGCTGTTTTCCACCTCAGTGCCTTTCTACATGCTCTCCCTTTGCGTAGCATGCCCTCCCCATTATCCTTGTATGCCTGTAAGTCTCCTATTTATCTTTCAAACTCGAGCTCAGCTTGTCATCTTTTCTTGGAGGCCTTCTCAGATACTTCTTCTGTGCTACCATGGACATAGGTCTGCTGTGATTGTCACATTGTATAATAATGTATTTGTTTGTATTACTTCTCTTACTTGATCATGAGTCCCTTGACAACAGGGACTCTGTCTTCTTTACTTCTGTATATTTGTTATCCTCAGCACCTAGCACACAGTATCTCTGGCAAATAGCACAATAAGTGTTTAACTAATTAATGTTGTTTTGGATAGCAGTGATCCATTTATGTCTCCCCAACTATCTCCTTCCTATTAGTCTCACATGACCAGTCTGTGCCGTATTCTTTCAAGGTTGAAAATAGATAAATGAAAGAGTCACTTGCTTTACTACATTCTATTTAGTGTCAGTATCCCATCCAAGCAGACATTGGCTATTTCCCCAACTCAGAGCTACATCCTGTCTGCCTCTTCAAACTCCTTAGATGTTTCCCTTTGAGAAAAGACTATTTGTGTCCCATAACCTCATCAGATGCTTGACAAGCTAGGGAACAAATTCTATTACTGGTCTCTTAGGAAGAGATTTCATTCCTAACTGCTATGTTTACAGTAATAATCCATTTTGTGTTTTACAGAAATAGCTTCAACTTAATCTCCTGTCTTCCAAAAGTTTTAACAGTTTTTGATTAGACTTGTATAAAACCCAGAGAAAACAACTCCTTGCTGTTGGATTTTGAAAACTCCAGATTCCATCTTACATAATAGTGTTGTTTGTTGCTAAGATGAAATTGGCCAGCTGTGTTAATAACTATGTCTAACTATGAGCTGAAGATTGCTGCCAAATTACATCATAATGTAAGCCACAGAGATGGTACAACAAAGCAAAATGCCAAATGGAACATTTCTTCTCATATAAATGTGTTATCCAGTGGGGGAGAAATGGGCCAGCCAGGGCAATATAATTCCAGGCTAGAGCAAACAATACAGATTTCCAGATGGGCACTGGTTGTGAATTTTCAACTGTGTTCTGTGAATTGGCATCATTAGTGAAAGACTTGATCTGAAATAATAAATCTTCACCATCATGCCTGGGTAATACAAACAGTTAACATGCTCAGCTGTTCCAGCCCAAAGGATGGAAGTTCAGGTCCACCCAGAGGCACCTAAGAAAGGCCTGGAGATCTGCTCCCAAAAAAATCAGCCACCAGAAACCCTGTGGAGCAAGTTCTAGTCTGACACATACGGGGTTGCCATGAGTCAGAATCAACTCCGTGGCAACTGGTTTATATTTTCTTCAGGCACTTTAAATTCTTCTGTGAAAAAGAATATATCTGACATCCCCACACTCCTCCCAGGATATTAAAAGGGAGGTCTGCTGCAACCCGGTCCCTATTAACTATTAGAAATATTCCAAATGGTTTGTTTTATGCAACAATAAGGTGACTTTTTTTTTTTTTTTTAATTGTGATTTGGGTGAAAATTTACAGAGCAAATTCACCTTCCATACAGAAGTTCACATATACTTTGTCCCATGACATTGACTGCAATCTCCCACAGTACAACAGCTCCCCTCCCACTTCCTTCCCATAGCCGTCTCTTCCCTGTGTCCTACCCTCTCGTGCAGTCCTGCCTCCCAAGCTGTCTCCCTGTGCATACATAGCCCTTCTGTTCTCCTATGAGTGATCTCTCCAAGGAGTGTATCTACCTAATCTGCCCATGAGACAGTTCATATGCCTGTCTTATGTTTGGCTGGAAGCCACAGGAGTAGGTTCAATTCCAGACCTTGAAGGACAGCTAGGGGCCATAGTCTCATGGGTTCCACCAGGCTTTATCAGACCAGCAAACCAGGTCTTTTTTTTTTTATGATTTTGAGTTTTGCTCCACATTGTTCTCCCATTCTATCCAGGATCTCCTACATAGACCCCCCTTTGAGTGGTTGACAGTGGTAGCTGGGCACCATCTCGTTGTTCTGGTATCATAGTCATATAGGCTGAGGATCACATGATGTACTAGTCCCTCGGACTAATTGTTTCCATGTGTCATTGGTTTTCTTCTCCCCCACCACCACATGAGGAGAGACCCATCACTGCATCTAGATGGCCACTTGCAAGCTTTTAAGATCCCAGTCACTACTCACCAAAGTAGGATGTGGAACAAGGTTTTGTGTAGTATGTTATGCCAATTGAGCTTGATGTCACCTGTGATCATGTTTCGAAGCCCATGGGTCCAATGGCTTGCTTCCTTTGGGTAGCTGGCTGTGGCCAAGTAGTGACTACAAACAGTGATTTTTTTTTAATAGTTTCTTATGAGTGTCTAACCCAGTCAAATTCTGAAGCTACTCTTGCTTTCTGACCAGAAAGCAACTACATATACTAAATACACAGATTCATTTTATTTTTTCCTCAGCTGTCAGACATATGAACTTGGCAGAGAGGAAAGATCACTTGGTTAAAGAACAAGAGACCAAACTTCTTTGTCAAGTAAATAATGGTACCATTAATACCGAGACTCATCTGTTCAGGACTTGGAACCTCAGACAGGACCAAGCCTTGGCCCTCCTGTGAAGAACTGGACAGAAATGCTAAGTGTTGATGTTGAAAGTTCCAAAATAAAACCAAAAATACTTAAAGACAAGCCATAAGTAGAGCTATTTTAAGAGTAAATGTACCTTCTGGAATGGTTCTGTTTTACTTCATAAGCCCTTTTTATCCTTGAGGAAGGAAAAGATTACTTAAAAGGCTTATCTGAATGGAAATTACAGGTAGTTTTGGTTATCCATATGAGTCAGTAGCGGTTAAATGTGGCCAAGCCCAAATACAAAAGGCCAAAATTTGCACTTAAAGTGGAAAAAATTACAAGTGACCATTTGATTTGAATTTCAGTTGCTTTTGCTTCCCTGATTAGATTCCAGCATTTGCAAACTAAAATGCTAGCTGCACCTGCCAAAAATTATCATTTTCTGGTTTGTCATTGGGGTAGGTGGCTGCAATAAAAGGAAGGATCTGCTGCCTACCACATCAGTCATCCAAGTCAATTTGGAAAAAGAACTTCTCTATCCTCTTTATTTAAAATGAAGCATAATTTCTGCTATCTTCTAACAATGTTTACTATCCTTCCTACCCCTCACCCATTCTTAAAAATAAACCTATGTGTTTGAGCTCTGGTGACGTAGAGCGTAAGGCATTTGACTGCTAACCCGAAGGCTGGCAGTTCAAACCCATCATCTACTCCTTGAAAGGAAGGTTGGGCGATCTACTTCAGTAGTGATACCACCTCGGAAACCCAAGAGAGGGGTCACTATGAGTAGTATTCTACTTGACGGCAGTGAGTTTGGTTTTGTTTTTATGAATTTGAAGTCCCTTAGTTCAAGTGAAACAATACATTTGTTCAAAGATGAACTTAGTAGAACTTGTGTCTTCAGATTTCTCTTTCTACTATTGGAATGATACTCAGAGGATAAATAGGCAATCATAGAATCTTCACTGTATCAAAGATCATAAACAGTGAGCATTAGCACAAAAAGGTTTCTTCCTGCTTTTTCCTTCATGCATGATAGCTATATTGTAACTCTGACTTCATTATTTCATATTCAGAAGAAAAGAGCCTGTCCCACTTCTCTTATGTTTAAGCCTATTATCTTCAACAGTTCTGACCCTCCTATAAAAATGGTTGCAACTAGAAACGTCTGTCTCAACTAATGAAGAAAATGAATGAAAACTGGGACAAGGATCATAAGACAGTGATTTCTGACTATGGTTCTCTAGGTTTCAGGGCCCAGTAGTAGAGGTTGGCCATAGGTGGCCATATCTTTATAAAGGCCCTTCTCTGTATATCCCACCCATGCATAGTCTAGTAGAAGGTTTGTAGATAGGAACAGAAACCAAAAGCAGAGAAGATAGGCTGAATAAAAAAGATGAAACCAAGTAAATCTGATCAAAGGTGATACTTCAGTAAATTTATCATTATAGTATCACCATATATTGTGAGTTCATTTAAGTGTTTTCTTCATTATTTTTCTTTAAAAATTTCCTTCCTGGAGAAGGCAGCTAAAATCATTATCCTTGGAGATAAAGTAGAAATAACATTAATCATTCACAGATATACTGTCACTGAGACTGAAGAGGCCAAGAACCACCTATCCTCAGTCTGTGTGCTTTGTCTTTAGCCCTGACAGCTGCAGCCGGAAGGGGCAAACTGGAGGTGTGCCGTCTGCTCTTGGAACAAGGAGCAGCAGTGGCCCAGCCAAACCGCCGAGGGGCAGTGCCCCTATTCAGCACTGTTCGCCAGGGCCATTGGCAGGTAAGCAGGACAGCTAATTGTCCCTAACACAGGAGCAAGTTCTGGGTGGGAATTTCTGATGCAGAGAGGGAAAAAAAAAAATCCCAAACAAAGTTGGAGTTAATTGTAAACTCTCAGTATTCATTGAGTTTGAAGTCTTGGAACTTTGCTGTTAATCTAGTTAATTGAGAATATGACCAGCAATCAGCATTCAGGATCATCGTTATGGTCACTGTCGTATAGAAGGAGTAGCTGCTTTTGTCCTGATCACAGAGGGACCTTTTTCTCCCATTTCACACTATCCACAGGTTCCTGGGAAGTTTCATTTCTCAACAAATCCCTGCTCATCACTTGCTCATCGGTGTCTCGGACTTGCTGAAAGAAAGTGCATTATATGCAAACTGTAGTTATATGGTCTTTCCAGATGTTTGGGTTCTGGATAAATGCTAACCTACCCACTTAGGGAAGAGCTCTGGTAGCATAGTGCCTAAGGCACTTGACTGCTAACCAGAAGGCTTGTGGTTCAAATCCATCAGCCACTCCTCAGAAGGAAGGTTGGGCAATCTATTTCGGTAGTGATACCACCTCGGAAGCCCAAGGAGGGGTTGCTATGAGTCAGGTCCAACTCGACGGCAAATAACACCACCACCACTTAGGATGGAAAAGAAAGTGTACTGGTAATAATCTTTGGAAATATTTGAGTAGAAAAAAGGCTCTAGAACACAGTGTTAAAGAGTTATCAGGGGATCTTATTTCTTTTCAGTTTAGTCATAAATACTCACTGCAGGCAGGTTTGCAGCTCCTAGAGATTAATAAAATGGCATTGACACAAGGAGTGACTTGTGTTGGAGCTTCCATTAAGGGATTGTTTAGTCTATATCTTGGCCTTTTTTGTCTTAAATTCTTTTTTACTAAGTGACTGAGTCAGAAGTTCAGAGTTGAATACTTCTCATTTAGCTGTCCCTGAAAGAGTCAGGAGGAGACCTGTGGCACAGTGGTTAAGCACTCAGCTGCTAACTGAAAGGTTGGCAGTTTGAACCCACCAGCCACTCTGGGAAAAAGACGTGGCAGTCTGCTTCCATAAGGTTTACAGCTTGGAAACCTGGGGGGCAGTTCTACTCTGTGAGTAGAAATCAACTCGACAGCAATGAGTTTGGGCTTGAGAGAGTCAGA